GATCCCATCCCTGCTCCCATTCCCCCTTCCCGTTTCCCATTCCCCGTTATTCCCATTCCCCTATTCCCGGTCCCCCATTCCCATTCCCATTATTCCCATTCTCCCATTCCTGGTTCCCCATTCCCGTTCCCATTCCAGTTTCCTATTCCCATTATTCCCATTATTCCCATCATTCCATTCCCCATTCCTGTTCCTGTTCCCCATTATCCCCGTTATCCCCATTCTCCATTATTCCCATCATTCCCATTCCCATTCCCATTATTCCCATTCCCATTATCCCCATTCCCAGTTCCCCATTCCCATTCCCATTATCCTCAATTCCCATTATTCCCAGTTTCCCATTCCTGGTTCCCCATTCCCATTCCTGTTCAAGTTCCCCATTATCCCCATTCTCCATTATTCCCATCGTTCCCATTCCCGGTTCCCCATTATCCCCATTCCCATTCCCATTATTCCCATTCCCATTATCCCCATTCCCGTTATCCCGTTATCCTGTTATCCCCATTATTCCCGTTATTCCCGTTATCCCCGTTATTCCCGTTATTCCCGTTATACCGGGTATATAGGTGAACTGCAGTTCCCGTGCCAGGGGTCTGAGCCGCGCCCGCAGCTGTTCCCGTTATTCCCGTTATCCCGTTGTTATCCCGTTATACCGGGGATGTATGTGAACTGCAGTTCCCGTGCCAGGGGTCTGAGCCGCGCCCGCAGTTGCCGGTGTTCCCGTTATCCCGTTATCCCCGTTATTCCCATTATCCCATTCCCGTTATACCGGGGATGTATGTGAACTGCAGTTCCCGTGCCAGGGGTCTGAGCCGTGCCCGCAGCTGCCGGTACCGGAACAGCAGCACTGTGCCCATTCCCGTTATCCCGTTATCCCCATTATCCCCATTATCCCCGTTATCCCGTTATTCCCGTTATCCCATTATCCCGTTATTCCCGTTATACCGGGTATATATGTGAACTGCAGTTCCCGTGCCAGGGGTCTGAGCCGTGCCCGCAGCTGCCGGTACCGGAACAGCAGCACTTTGCCCATTCCCATTATCCCCATTATCCCATTCCCGTTATTCCCGTTATCCCGTTATCCTGGTTATCCCGTTATCCCGTTATTCCCGTTATACCGGGTATATATGTGAACTGCAGTTCCCGTGCCAGGGGTCTGAGCCGCGCCCGCAGCTGCCGGTACCGGAACAGCACCACTGTGCCCATTCCCATTATCCCATTCCCGTTATTCCCGTTATCCCATTATTCCCGTTATCCCGTTATTCCCGTTATACCGGGTATATATGTGAACTGCAGTTCCCGTGCCAGGGGTCTGAGCCGTGCCCGCAGTTGCCGGTACCGGAACAGCAGCACTTTGCCCATTCCCATTATCCCCGTTATCCCCGTTATCCCCGTTATCCCGTTATCCCGTTACCGGGGATGTATGTGAACTGCAGTTCCCGTGCCAGGGGTCTGAGCCGTGCCCGCAGTTGCCGGTACCGGAACAGCAGCACTTTGTCCATTCCCGTTATCCCCGTTATCCCCGTTATCCCCGTTATTCCCGTTATCCCCGTTATCCCATTGTTCCCGTTATTCCCGTTGTTATTCCCATTATACCCGGTATATAGGTGAACTGCAGCTCCCGTGCCAGGGGTCTGAGCCGCGCCCGCAGTTGCCGGTACCGGAACAGCAGCACTTTCCCTTTGAGCGCGGCCGCCAGGAGCCCCCCGGGCCCGGGGCCGGTTCCCGGCAGCGCCGCCAGCCCGTACACGTTACTCTGCGAGCTCAGGCGGCTGAAACTGTCCTCCACCAGCGGGCAGCGGCCCCACGGGGACATGGCGGGGAC